CTTAGCTGTAGAGGGCAGTGTCACTGGCCCTCATATGTGGGATTCGAACCGGGGCCCTCTGGCGTCCCAAGCCAGCTCTTAACCAACGCGCCACTCAGCTGGCCCCAGAGAGCATTTTCATACGCTGTCTGCCCTGGCTTGTGGTCCACAGACTTCTCACCTGCCAGGAGCTGGCAATGAGCCATGTCACAGAGCACACTGTTTAGCTTAGCTCTTTTCTCTGTATTAGATGTTCTGTGTCTATTACGCTCTGGCCCAGACTTGGGGATTGTCACAGACTGTTGACAGTCTGATGACCTGCTACCTTCAAGGAGCATTGGCTTCTGCTATTTAGGACCCTTGTATCCTATGGCTGAAACGTAATCCTTGTGTCAGTTATACTTCTTAACACTCCAAAGCTTACTATGTCATCTGTAGGAATGATGTCCAGTTGCTTATTAATCAAAGTGTGTGTTACAAATCAGCGGATTTCCAAGTTCGGTAAAGCACAGAACTGTGCCATAATTGATTGCATGTCACCTGCAAAGTCAGCCATGACACATTTTATTTGACTTAAGTGCTGGGTTTAAAGTGAGAAAAGCAACCAAATCTAGGTTCTTGGGGGGAAAGCTTCAGTCTCACTCTCCAAGAGGAGCTAGAAAGTGAGGCCTGCCGGAGGGAAGCGGCATCACCACCAGCGAATGGCTGGGCTCTGGCTGACTTCTGTGTACAAACTGCACATAAAGCGGAGTGTTTTGTGGGCAGTTTGTGTTGTTTTAAACCATTGTTACTAACACCGCCAACAGGAACAAAGTTTCATTGACTGAAGAAGCTGGCTTTGCCCTTAGCGAACCACAGAACAGTCTCAAAGTCCTGTGAATACAGGGGATTTCACCAGTATGCCTAATGTTTGTCACGCGACAGTTGTGTAGAGTACATCTTCTCACTGCCTGGCGTTCGCACCCTCCTAGCTGGACACAGCTGCATGTTTCCTGCTTCCAGGATGCCTGCTGCCTTGACTGGTGAGAATTAGGGCAAATCAAGTTTTCAGGAGATCGACTTAGAACCTTATAATCAGAAATGTAGTACTTGGGTCAATCATTTGTATAATTTCCTTACTGAGGCTCTATTATTTTCCAGTAAACGTAAAATATATTATTTTAGGAGCAAGTAAAATGCTCAATCTATAAAGATGGAAGAATTTTTATTTCCAGAAATGAGGAAGCTATTTCTCTTAGTTCAAAGATCATGTACTCTTAGAATTGTATATTAACAGTATTGGCCTACAATGTTTCATCAGTACCAATAAATTTGTTAGCGCCAAGTATTTATGTGCTAGGTGCTGTAGGACATTGAAAAGGGCCTAAAACATGGGCCTACTGGTAAGATTGTAGTCGAGCACAATCTGATGAGATTGTGAATTCATCCAGTTTCTTTATCAGTAGGGACGAGGAGTCCGTTCAAGGCAGCTGTCAGGACCCAGCAGTGTTTGATCCTCCCTCCAGAGTTCTGGCTGGTCTTTAGGAATAGGACAGATTCAGGTTAGTGAAAACAGAACATGGCTGCAGTTACAAGGAGAATCCACAGGGAAATAAAAGGCCCCTAAAAATGCTTCCACTCAGCCCAGGGTAGCAGTGCCAAGTCCCACGCTGATGGGCAAGGTCAGGTGAAAATGATACTTGTTTTAATAAGAGGAGACCTGAGGGTCAGTTAGTCCCTGCACTACTTTTCCATGACTGAATGGGGGAGGATGTGCTCACTGTATCCCCCAAAAGAGAGTTAGGGCGACGTGTGGAGGCAAGTTCTGTAACCGGAGGAAGTGGAATGGAAGGGCCTTACTTTCCGTGACTCAGACTTCAGCTGCCAGTCATGCGTGCCTTCCCTGCTCTCTGGGTCAGACTTAAGGTGGCCTCGCCCTCTGCGGGGGAGCAGATGACTCCACTCTTGGGTGTCCGTTTCATCACATCTCTTCTCCCCCCTCAGTCCTTGAATTAGTTGAACCTGGACTTGAAAAGGGCCGGTTTTAAGGCCATTGCTTCAGCGACTAGCCTTATCTGCCATGTTTAATCCGTTGTTTTTCCCAGTCTTAGTTAAAACAAACTCACAAAGAGCTCTGATGTCCTAAGAAACCGATTTTGTGCAGGACTTTGGTCTCAGCTGCCCAGGATGATTAGGTGGGACGTAAGGCCGATCAGGCCCTGGTCCTGGTTGAGGCTGAAGAACTGAGTTATAGGTAAAGCCCTGAAGCCCTGATTGAGCAGGGCTGGAAGCACAGTTGTGGCCTCAGCTGATGGCTCTGATTCTAGAGAACAACTCCCTTCTGATGTGGAGACATTATAGTTGTCACAGTCGTTTTATTTCCATGAATTCTTTTTTCTTTTTTTCTTCTTTCTTTTGGTCAGGATTGCCATACTCTGGGAAATATACTCTCAGATAATCAGGAGTTCACTGTGTATCATTTTAGAATGTAAATATAAATTGCCTAAATTTTCTAAGCCGTCCTTCAAGGCCCAGGTCACCTTTCTCTATGAATCCTTTTCTAATAATTCCCAATGAAAACACAGTCATCTTCTTCCAGACTTGATCATATTTCTACTATGGAGGTCTTCATTACAGTTCTTAGAGTGTATTATTTTCCCCAGCAGGCGATAAGATTCTTATGGGCAGAAATTGTATATTCATCTTTTTAAAAAATGTAAACTTCTTGTGAAATAATTTCAAACACCAGAAGAATAGTAAGACTAGTACAAAGCACTGTAATGGTCACTCAGTCACCAGTTGCTAACATTTTCCTCTTGATGTATTTCTCTCCTCTCCTTTTGATGCCTGCTTATCCTGAACAAATCAACATATGTTTCTTCAATCATACTTTTAGCCCTAATACAGCAATAAATTCAAGAAAACTAACATCGACACTTTAATGTCCACCGTGAATGTTCAGCTTTTTTTGTTTGTTTTTTTAAAGATTTTATTGGGGAATTGGGGGAGGGGACCAGTGTTAGGGAATCGGGGAAGGAGAACAGACAAGTTGCTGTCCTTTTGTTCTTCAGTCTAGTTGTGGAGGACGTTGCTTCACTGGCCCATGTTGGTATTATCATTGCACTCTTCCTGGGTGAGGCAGTCGCTCGCTGGCTATTGGACAGCGGCTCACGGCAGCTCACAACAGGTCATAAGCCGGCTGCTGGCTGCTCACAGTAGCTCACAGCAGCCCACTGCAGCCCCACTGCAGCCTACGCCATCACTGGCGACTCACGGCAGCCCAGCTCCAGGTCGAGCTGTTGTTCACCATCTTAGCTGTAGAGGGCGCAGCGTCACTGGCCCTCATGTGAGATCCGAACGGGGGCTCTGCTGCTCAGAGCTGGCGTCCCAAGCCAACTCCTAACCAATGCGCCACTCAGCTGGCCCGTGAATGTTCAGTTTTTATCAGTTGTCCCAATAGTGTCCTTTGTTGTAAATTTTCCCCTCATCTAGGATTCATTTTAAGATCACATGTTGACTTCAGTCGTCACATCTCTTTAATCTCCTTTAACCTGGAATAGTTCCTCATCTTTCCTCTGTATCTCATGACATCGACACTTTTGAAGAGCACAGGCCAGTTTTGTGGAGTATCCCTTTGGGTTTGGCTGCTGTTTCCGCCTGTTTGGTCAGCTTATGCATTGATGGCAGTAACATTCCATAAGCAGTGGGTTCCTTGTCTTCCATGCATCACAGCACATGACGTCAGGGTTTCATTCTTGGCGTTGCCGACTTTGGTTCAGATGGTGTCGGCCAGGTCTCCACCATAAAGCTGAACACTCTGTAATTATCAAGTGACTCATGCGAGGAGAGTTTTACCATCCACAGATAATCCCCCCCGGATCAGTTATTACTCTGATGGCTGCAGAATGGTGGTTTTTCTGACACGGTTACCTCTTTTACATTTAGTCTTAGGCGTTCTCCGCAGTGCCTTCCTCTTTTTAAAGTCAGGTGCCCCGTCATGTAGGAAACCCTGCAGCGTGCCCAGGGCAGTGCTGGCCACCTCTCGTGTAGGGATTGCCGTATTCGGCCCTCACTCCACACCTTGAAGGTAATTATTACCTGCCCTGCTGTTACTTGCGTGGAAATGTACGTTCAGAGAGGTTAGTTGATGTGTCTGAGGCCACACAGTTAATGATGAGTCAGGATTTAAACTCATGTCTGTCAGACCCAAATCGTGTACCCATTTTTTATATTGGAGAGTTTTGTTTTTTGTTTTTGTTTGTTTTTATATATAACAAATAATTGTTGAATGAATAACATAAAAACACTTTGTTGTGAAGTCAAGTTTTAGAAACTGTGTGGAGTTGGTTTGCTGTTTTTAAATGCGCTTCTGGTTTTTAGAGGTGAGGAATAATCCATTTGTCTTGTCAGTTCACAGCTGAATTAGGAGTGGAGTCCATGTAGAGTAACAGTGAACCTACACCAACAGCGGCGGCTGGGCGGCTTGGGGCAGTGAGCCTGGACCCTGTAACTTAAAACAGATTTGTGTTAAGTCGGTTCAGAAATAGTCTATAGTCTCACTAAAAATGGCTGAAAGGGAAACTGTAGTAGAACTGTAACGAAAGGGGAGAGTCAGCTTTTCCTGCCTCAGGAT